CTTCGGGTTCGACGCACCACGTATAGTTAGCAGCGGCACGTGCGCATTTCTGTGCTGCTCCGTCGAAAAAACCACTTTTTTGTGCAATGTCTGCAGTGCTTTAGAAGTTGTTTTTTTTTTTGTTTCTGCTAACCGTGACTACATCGATGACAAGCTAGGAAAGCCATGAATGGCAAGGAAACTTTTTCATCACACCAAAATGATCTGCAATGCTTTTATGCTGCTCGGCGGTATATATACTGTCAGTTTTGCTAGCAAATCAGTCGAAGACAATTTTCAATGTATGATACGTTACTGCAGATAAAATATCACCCTTTTAAAGATGTCCGGGGGTGGGGATGACTGTAGCAGTGTGCTATGAGTTCATTTAGGTATCGCTGCTTCGGCCGACATCGTCGGTCGATTGGCATGAAGCGCACCATTTATTGAGCGCGTTGAGATAACTTTTTTTTTTCTATCCTTGAGCACGCTATAGGATGCATTTTTTTTATCGAAGCCAGATGCTTATTTGAACGCAGATCTTGGTCAAACTGCATGGCACGGTGGCAAATAAACATACAGTCAGACATAAATGGCGCTGAAGAATCGAAACATTGTGCACGTTTAACGCACTTCTTCCTATTTGTGCCGTCCGGGCGCACAGTTTGACCATGATAAACGCTAACGAATTCGTCCAGCGCTTGGTGTAAACTTAATGTTGAGTGAAGCTTTCACGTTCTTTGTCATATATATGGGTGAAATGGCCGGCTTTCATCTCATATTTTGCCTGCGAATTCCCATAATATATTTTCTATAGGCGTGCCTGCACGACAATTTATTTTTCTCGACATAATATTGGCAGCAAATTCATGCCTAAGCTTTTTATTAGTGGGGAATACACACGTAGTTGTGCCAAAATGGTGTCCGCACACTCTGGCTGTGGCGTTCGGTACCCAAAGGCTACCCGTCGCTGTGGCTCTCTTCACAGCCGCGGCCCACCTCATTTTTCTTTCTTCGTTCTATGGGAATCGATACATGCTTTTGCCTTTCACGCTTGAGTTGGAGCAGCCAACGGCTGAACAACCGACCATGGTTTATCAGGACGAAGATAAACGGGTGACCGAACGTGGGAATCCCGAATAATCTGGGGCTTGCGGCGAAGCGGTTTGCCGTCGTCTACTCCTCTCGAACCGGAAGTCGGTAGCAGACGGTGCATCCCACAATTTCTCGCATTTTTTACTGGTCACCTATTGGCTTTTCTAGTCAGCTTTAATGCAGCCCGTCTTCCCGTTTAACTATGCAGTTGGGACAAGGAAACAAGACATGTATTTTGGCGGTCAATAGAGGTATATTGTGTATTTCTTTGTCCTACCTAAATGCCCTAATCACTACACAGTTTCGTTACATTTTTCTCATCCTGGATCACTAATTATTGCTCATGTGCTAACAGTCTTCATAGGAGATTGAACATGAAGCCCATTGTCGAAGTGATGTTAACAGGACACATTGGCGAAGTGAAACGCAGTTTTTGTTCCTGGTGTAATCTAAACCAACATAACATTTCTCTGTGTCGTCACCGGCTTGGGACCGGGCAACGGGAGACATTGTGTGTTGTTGTTTTTATTGAGTGACACAGCACGTACATGCCTTTTTATACTTGCCTCACTTTCTCACACATATTTCGCACAACTAATTAATAACTTTTTCAGCTTTGCCACGAGCCATGGCACTTTGGCATAATATTTCTGATTACTATGTTTAACCGTCCCTTGATCCGTAAACAGTCGTAGGTCGAGTTCATGACAGCGTAATTACACTGTCACGTAAATCATCACGTATTAGTGCCTACAAAGATAAAAAAATGAAATAATGTTGTCATCCAACGTTGCGCTTGCGTCTGGTTGCCTGACACCTGTCTGACCCATGTCTGCGTCTATTGGATCCTCACGACTTAGTTTTATTTAATAGGCCCACTACATGGAGTCAAGGAACGAGCTTTCACCACTAACGTAAAAACAGCTTCTACACATTAACGCAAATAGGCTCGGAAAATTCAGAACGTCATCTCCTTTTTAGTCCACAGCACGAAGCCATCGCTGCTGTAATAAGCTCATTCGATCCTTCAGAGGGAGGCTCATCACCGGAGTCGCCTCTGCACAAGAAAGAAAACTCCCATCCCAGAGTAATAAAATAAACCACGGGAAAGGTCGCCTAGGCGTCGGCCGCTTTCCAGCCGCGTAGCAGAATATAATGAAATGTCGTTTAACTGGTTTTGTCATCCATGTGTCTTCCCTAAGAGCTGCATGGCGTCAACAAGAACAGGGGAGCTGCAAAAAATGACTGTAGAAAGGGGTGTGGGGGAACGAGGGGGCTCACGGCAGTGCATACGAAGAAGGCGTGGGTAGGAGGGGATGCAGATGGGAGTTTTACAGAAAAAAAGGGGGGTGGGGGCACTCATGTGTGGTTACAAAAAAGAAAGCAAAAACAACTCGGGTGTAATGCTTGTAAAAGTGCAGGTTGGGGCTGAGTCGGACAACACCTACTCCCCCCCCCCCCCCTTAATTTCTACGTGCACGTCCAGCACGTATGTTTCCAGCATGGGACGTCCCGAAGGCGGAGCGAAGCCACCCTCCTTCACTACGAAGGGAGCCCGGCCTTCGTCGGCGAAACAGGTCTTGCACTCTCGCCGAGGGGCGGCACGCGGGAAGCCACCCCACGTTTGCGGTAAGCACCTCGCCCAAGGCGCGCAAACGACTAAGCGAGAACAACCCCGCCTTCTTTTTCCCTCGCAACCATCGCAACGCTACGCAAGCGAACGCGCACGCGACCAGAATAGACGCGAGGACGAAGGACTCGGGTATGCGGCAACTGCCTCCCGCACGCTCCTACGACCAGGCAACGACTGCGGCGACGTGCCGTCGCCTCGAGCCTCACCATCGGCGGTGAAGGAGGCTTCTACGGCCGATCGCCAAGGGGAGAGAACGCGCGCTGCCTCGCTTAGCGTCCATATCGAAAGGGTGAGGAGGCGCTGACGCGTCCCAAGGAGCGAAACCATCGCATCTCGCCTTAGTGGGATACGGCACTCTCACTCACTTCTTAGGACATCCTCTCCGCCTTTGGCTGGTGCAAGATTTTCGGCAGCCGCCGTTTGGGACCCGCGCTCGATCGGCAGCTTAGTCCTCGCCGACTGACAGTCAGCTGCAGTAACGTCTGGAGGGCTGCAGCCTACGCTGGACGTACCCGGCTGCCACCCTCTGGACCGTCCCACGCTTCCACTGACGCCCTCTCCGCCCTGTCTTCGAAGACACGGAGCCACTTTCCTCCTTCATATTCGAGGAGACATCCCGGCAGTAGTCCGTGTACGACGAGTGCGAAGATTTGAGCGGGGACGAGTCTCCCAGCTCGCACCGATCCGAAAAGGCACCTGTACCTTTGGCGGGTTGCTTGTCGAACCGGTTCTGTCTACGACGCGCCTGAAGTATTAACCCTTGTCGTATAAAGTAACGGACGAATTATCTCGCGACCCAACTTCTGTGGATTACGGCGACAGCGAAGGTGAAACTCAGTGCCAAGGCCAGGACTTGTCGGTGCCAAAGGCTTCAAGCTCTACCAGCTCCAGCTGCGTAGCTCGCCAGTGGACACTACTTTTACTTCGCAGCATTTCTGCTTCGAGAAGACGACGAGTGTTATGTGAGTGTTTCTCGTCACTCTTGCACAGTGTATTATCGAAGCTTGGATTACATAACTGCCGCGGCGTTGTGCGGTGCGTGCGTGTGACGGAAGCATTCAGCACAGCTGCAACGAGGCACCGCGGAACGCGCATCCAGAAGGCTCCTTGTGGACGACGCTTGGACAGGTGGGATCTCTTTGTGTGTGTCTCGTGACCGTTCAACGTACCGGCTCTTCACAGAACCAAGCTGCAGGAGAACAAAGAACACAGTGGCCGGTAGTGTGGCGTTAAGTAATAAGAACGTTCCTTGAGTGAACGCCACTGCAAGACAAAAGATTCAAGTTCGAAACTTTGGTGTCTATTACAGTGAATTCTGGACCACTCACCTGCGCAGCGCCAGCCAAGTAGCAATTAAAGGTAGTCGATGGTTAACAAGGTATACACACGAATATAGTTTTCTTCGCAGCCTCCGAAAAAGAACGTCCACAAACCGCACAACTCATAAGCGTTCTACTATGGAGATGAGCTAAACCCTGCATAGAAAAGCTGCAATGTCACAGTGAGCTGCACGCGCTGAGAGGTTCTTTAGCCTACTCATAGAAGTGCCAGATACAAAGACAAAATTAATGGAGAACTTCAGCGTTGGCCAACGCAACAATTAGGAATACAGGGTTGGCATAATTGCATAGGTTCCATTAATAGAATTCAGAATGCCATTGGACAGTCTCTATGTTTTACGACGCACTGCAGGTTCTCAAATTTAATCCACATTGGTAATATCGTGCATGACCAAGGCGCCAACATACTGCAGGGTCCTTATTGCTCGGTTAGAAAAAACAGGCTCCATTGTATCGGTTCGTTTTCACTTCTTGAGCAGCACACCACCACACGGTAGATGTTTGAGTGCTCAATAAAACAGCGATAATAAGGAATACGGGAAAGCCTGATTGCATGATTGAGCCTCTTCAGAGCATTCTTGACAGCACTCAGTCACAAAGAGACCGTTTCATCCTTTCAAGCAGTGCTAACCAAAGCACAAACGGCAGTCCTTCTTCGCAGGTGTTAAATTGGTGCTAAGTAGGCGCATCTCGATCCTTATCAGCGTTCGTGTGCACAGTAAGACTGCTGTCGCCCAGTCCAAAGGGTTCCCGTTCACTGCGAGGAACAAAAGGACACCTGTAGCCAGGCGCTGTACCTGCCTGATCGTGCAACGAAGGCTTAAACACGTGTGACTGCAGGGAATGAAGGAGGCATATATAAAGGGTCATCAATCAACTCAGGAGATGAAACAGCGACTCCTTTTGTTCACTTGAGTTGGCACTGAAGAAGGCTACCCCCCTTTCCCTCGTGCATCCTACAGTGGTCGTGGCCACGCCGCACACAAAGAACTGTGACTGTTTTCGCGCTGTCTCATTCTACTCCTGGACGCCTCAGTGTCACAGCGTGTTCCATGTGATTGTCAAGGTTGTCGAGCAATCTCGGAAACGCACGACGCCTTTCAGCGCTGTAATCTCGCAACGGGAGTTCCTCTTCATTGTTGGCATCTCGCTTCTTACACTGGCGGGGCAAGATGGGAGAAATCCTTGTTCCTCAGAAGTTCTTCAGGAATCCGGGAGAAAAAATTTAGGAGTTCATTTGTTGAAGCCTCGTTGAGAGATTGTTCTGGCCGCAAATAGTCGCTGAGGTGTCTTCGTGGAGTTATAAATCACCTTTCATGTCGTGACGGATGAATATATGGGCAATTTATTTTCCATTTAGGTGGTGTGTAAGAAAAGGATAAGAGTTCATTTCTTTGATACTTTAGCCTATCTTGTGCTAGAAGACTTAACAAAGTGTGAGCTCTCCAGCACTCGTTGATCGAGTACATATCTGAAAACAATGTGGCTGTTTTAGAAGGGCACACTGAAGTCAGGTCAGGGATACTCTGAATATACCTTATACCTTCGGACTCGAAAGCCACGACTCCGTTTTTTTTTTGTCTTCAGCATCAGCATTGCGCTTCTGCAGACGCTAACCCTAACGCCTAAGGTACATCACGCTTGCCACGTCAACGAACACATATAACAATGCCGTCGACACCAAGACGAAGTGGTGGCGGAGGAGGAGGCTTTTCGGAAGAGACCTTCTTTCCCAAGAAGGTCATCGAGCTGGTCACCATGGAACCGAGCTCGAGCCGCCGGAACCGGCATAACAGTCACCACGTTCATCATCACCCGGCTTCGTCGTCGTCTTCCATGGCCCCGTCTTCGGGTCGACAGTACGAGGACGAGGACGACAGCTGTTCGGGGGACAGCTCCGAGGGACTGTCCATCGACCCTCTGGACGACAACCCGGGCATCCAGGCGGCAGTCAGTAAGGTGCTGCAGAGCTACGACTGGTCGCTCGTGGCCAAGACGACTCGTCAGACAACATCGGAGAAGAAGCGGATGCATGTCAAGCGACCCATGAACGCCTTTATGGTGTGGGCTCAGGCTGCCAGGAGGAAGCTGGCCGACCAGTACCCACACCTTCACAACGCTGAGCTGAGCAAGACCCTCGGTAAACTGTGGAGGTGAGTGTTGTTGCTTTTTGTCTTCTACTGTGTATAGCGTAATAGATATGTTTTTGCACACGTGGACTGCGACAAAGGCATCTTATGCTTCTTAGAATTCGAAATAGTGAAAGGGAACAAGAACATTGCAATGCACCCGGATGAAGTGACCCACTGTAATGTAGTAAAGTATTAGTAGTAGTTATCACAGCAGTAGTAGTAGTAATAGTAGGAGGAGGAGGAGAAGGAGGAGGAGGAGTAATATTGATAACAATACTGACTTGGCTTTGTCATCCCAAGACCACCAAAGGATTACTAGCGACACCGTAAGGAGGGCTCCTGCAGGAATTTCAGCTATCTGGTGTTTTTCGACGTGCACTAGCAGCGCACAGTACAGGGGCCTCTCTTCCGTTTCGTCTGCATCAAAATGCGACCGCTGCGGCCGGGATCAAGCACACACCTTGGGGCCAGCAGGCTAGCAACGTAACTGCTACACCCACACGGCGGAACTTTTGCAAGAGTACAAAAGAATGGTACATGCTGATTACCAATAGATTGATTGATTGACATGTGGGGTTTAACGTCCCAAAACCACCATATGATTATGAGAGACGCCGTAGTGGAGGGCTCCGGAAATTTCGACCACCCGGGGTTCTTTAACGTGCACACAAATCTGAACACATGGGCCTCTACAACATTTCCGCCTCCATCGGAAATGCAGCTGCCGCAGCCGGGATCCAAACCCGCGACCTGCCGGTCAGCAGCCGAGTACCTTAGCCACTAGACCACCGCGGCGGGGCGATTACCAATAGAGCATTCCTTACTTTTTTACAATGACGGGAGGCCCTTGAGATCAGGAATTTCCTTTCTAGCTTCGGGATCTAAACGATTGGATGGTTTCATCCTTTTTAATGAACGCTTCTCTGTCGTCCGGGACTAGCGGTAAACTTATTAGCCAGACTTCAAGGGGAATGAGTCAGTGTTGAAAAGTATAAAAAGGCGCCTAATTTCTGTCTGACTCATGCATGGGCGACATGGCGAAGTGCCTTGAAAGGGAAGGGGGGAGGTGGGATGAAAATAATTGTGGAAAGAGAGATATAAACAACTAGGATAAGGCAAGTGGAACAAAAAATAGGCCCCATATCTCCATGTTAAGCTGCAAATGTCGTCGAAAGACAATAGTCTTGCGTGTAGAGAGAGTGAACAAAACATTTATTTTATGTTATGCGCGAAAAAATTGGTGAATAGTATTTTGGAGGCGCTACGTTAGAGTGCCTCGAGCGTGCAACGGAGGCGAACGAACGCGTCAAGTGACGTCACACGTGAGACATGAGCGCCACCTGGCAGTTTTCTTGAAAAACAAAGCACGCCGCTCTGAGACGAGCGTGCGCGCCCGTCTAAGAGGTGATAAAGTGTAGAACGTAAACTTACGGGTAGGTGCCCCACAGGCTCGTCTTAGCAAAGCATTGGATGGTAGGTAGGTAATAAACTTTATTAGGATCCAATGAGAAATTACTGGCCCGGGCTACACTCCCCTTTTCCTGCAAGAGTTTCATGGTCAGCGCAGCGTGATAAACGCTACGGTCCTTAGAATTACTTATGTATGCCTTTTCTAGTAAAAAACGCACATACAGAATATATACGTGTTGTTAGGGTGCCTCAGATATGCGCAATAATTGCTTTGTAATTGACAATCGCACAAGTATGAACGCTGAACATTAAGCAACATTGGTGGGCGCTGCGGATGGGGTCGGCCGTTTGGGGTATCGGCGGCTGGTGTCGTTTGGAGTACCCGGTACCGTAAAGCGGACAAACAGAAAAATGTACCGACAGACAGACAGACAGACAGACAGACAGACAGACAGACAGACAGACAGACAGACAGACAGACAGACAGACAGACCAAAATTTTTGCGTCGAAGGTCCCCACGAAAGACTATCGTCTTTAAAAGAAGGAAATGGGAAAGTTGGGAGCTGGTCGAAGAAGTCTGAGGACAGGTCACCACTCGGCGAGAGCTACACAGCGTCATGGGGTCGCGGAGGGCGAATCAGTCGGTGAGGGCTACGCTGGCGTTGGAGATCGCTGGCGACACAACCGTTCAGCTTGAAATCCTCCGAGCAACTCCTCAAGGGGAAGGTGGAAAGCACGCATAGCAACAGAAGCAATGATAGGCTATGCTACGCTGGGGTAAGGTGAAAAGAAAACAGACAGAATAGGGAGCGAACTTATGTGGCTTATACACGCATCGTGCCTGCCGATGAAGGCAATCGCACAAACCAATCTTTTCCGGGATGGACACAGTTATTTCCCCCAGTTCTGAGCCGGTGCTGCCTTGGTGGGAATGAGGTTCCAGTACACTTGGTCGACGATTCCTTAGCCACCTAAGCTGACTTTACAATTGTTTTCGTATATATTTGCATCTATTCTGGCAACTATGTTAAAGCGCGATGGAGTTCTTGCACAGCTATATAGAAAGCGAAAATTGCCGCATGAGCGTCATCTTTTTTAAGATATATTGTGCAATGAATTACCAAAGTATTGAGGTCCTGGCTTGTTGAACCTCGTCAGTTAAGACTTAACGAATAACCAAGTTAGTTTATGTCACTAAACACCTTCCTAGTGCTTGAAACACCCGCAGTGGTGTTTATCGGTTATTGTGCTTGACTGATGAACGACCAATCGCGGGATCGAATCACAGTCGCGGCAGCTGCACTTTACATTTCAGCGAAATGCTAAAGGTCCAGGTACTTGGATTTAGGTGCACATTGAATAACCTCACGTCATGGAAAACTTCTGGAGCCCTCCACTACGGCTTCTCTTGTAACATGCAGTGGTTTTGTAGGCGTTCAGCCCCACCAGTTATTGTTATCATTATTATATTTATTGCTTCTGGAATATCGGTGGAACGTCACTGCACTTGTCAGCTTTTTTTCTTGTTTTTTCAACAAGGTGTGCTCATGACTCGAGGTTTGTTGCGCGCGTAATGTTGGCGATGTGGTAGTTAGCTGCAACACGAGAAGTGTCGTGCGGACCTCTCAGACTTATATTCATTTACACCTCAGTATGACAGACGATGCCAATGTTGTAACCATTGTCCGTTTCGGGGAACGTTCAACAGCGCCGTGGAGTGGTGAATGTCATTTTAATGAGCATAAATGGCCTACCGTAACACGCCCATTGTGGTCGTTAGGCGGCGGAAATTTCTAATGGAAGACTGTGAGAATCGAGACGCTGAGAAGCATACAAGTTCAGAAGTTTTCTTCTCAAACGCTGTACACGCTTTTGGCCCGACCTCTTGTAATTCAACTTGTAAGGGCGTCGCTGAATTACTAAGAACTTAAATGCCTCGTCGAGCATGAAAATTAAGCGGCATCTCGCGTCGGCTCGGCGTCAACACGATTGTTGCAGAATAATTATAAAATGCTGACATCATCATGAGTCATTACTGTGACGTGACTAGCTGACGTCTAATCATTTTATGATTGGATATGTGGGATTTAACGTCCCAAAACCACCATATGATTATGAGAGACGCCGTAGTGGAGGGCTCCGGAAATTTCGACCACCCGGGGTTCTTTAACATGCGCCCTAATCTGTGCACACGGGCCTACAGCATTTCCGCCTCCACCGAAAATACAGCCGCCGCAGCCGGGATTTGATCCCCCGACCTGCGGGTCACGTATAGTCGAGTACCTTAGCCGCAAGACCACCGCGGCGGGGCAACGTCTGATCATGATGACATTTCTCGTGCAGAAGTGGGCCGATCCGGGAGCCAGTGAAAAATGAGATTTGATGCCGAAAGCGCGCACAACCTCATATTTTGGTGGCCCTGCAAAAATATGTTACTTGCGGAAGCCTTTCAGAGGTGTAACGATTGAGTGGGCGTACATCGACTGAGATTAAAAAGAAATGTAGAGGATGGCTCTAGCATTGGAGCCGACTGACAGAGGTGCATTAGAGACCCTGTTTAGAAACAAATTACTGACACTATGTACAGAGCTTGAATTATGCGTGATGAATGCGTGATGAATTATGCGTTCAGGAATACATTCACATTCTGACAATTTCACATGACATTGCCACAACACAAAAAGTAACATTTTAACACAAAGCGAACAGCAGAAGACGTACGAACATAATTACAAATGCGCATAACTCACAAATGACGCAACACGGAATAGGTAAATAGGCATACGCGTATGTTCATATACCCTTGCATCGTGTACATCAACTTGGTGGTGTATTGATCAGGGCATGAAATACCGAGGCGGCGAACACAGTTCAAAAGGGCACGGCGACATGGGCATCAGCTCTAACCTTCATGACGGTGCGGCGTAGCACCATGTCAGCCTTGAAATAAGTTGTACTCGTTTGTGCTCAACGTTGATAAAAGGGCACACCAAAGACGCACAAACTCGCGCTCTCCCGAGAAGAGTTCCTCAAAGAGAAAGGCCCGTAGGGTATCCCTAACACGTGTGTTTAGAAAAAGGGGGGTACTGATTTAGGGGTATTTAATGTACTCTACTGTGTGTCTAGAAAAAAAAATTGCCCGCAGCTTCCCTCGGGGGAACACTGAGGAGGATGCGGACCATATAATTGGTTAACGGGGTGTTAAAGTGCGACTTACTTGGGTCGATGGCTAAATTGGTTAACGTGGTTGTGAAATGGGGTGTTAAATTGCGACTTACTTGGGTCGATGGCTAAATTGGTTAACATGGTTGTAGGAGGGGGTGGTAAATGAGTGAACACGTACACACGTATGCGAAAGGGCGGCGCTGGTCGAAGGGACGTCGATCATTGTATTTGTGGATTCGTTGGAATTCATTTCACCGCGACCTTGGACGTCGACGCGCCGTACAAACCAACCGACGAGCGGCAACTGAGCGAGCGAGCGCCGACCTTGAGTATATATACAGCACGACGGCGCATGCACTGTCAGCTGTTGAATGTTCTCGAAGCGCGACGCCACATGCGCGTCCACTGGAGAATCAGGAGAATTGTAGATGTCGAACGCGGTGTG